CCTCCCCGCCACCCCGAGATAAAGCCAGCCAAGCGCCTACGCGTCCCAGTTCCCGGACATTGGGCTATAGACCAACAGTATCGATCAGTCAACAGCCAGACGGTTTAAGCAGAAGACGTGAGACTCGAAGAACGAGAACGGCGGTTGGCTGATTGATATTCATTTGACCAATGGGATTTCTACTTGTATATTATTTAATCTCATTGATTTTTTTCAATTAAAGTACTGCCACTTCTGTGGTATTTTATCCTGCCTCTTGGTGATGAGAAATTCCAGCGTACGATGGCTATTGCAATTCAGTGCTTCTCAGTTACGACCGTGATTTGTGATCTGTAATTCATAGCTTATTCAATAACTACGTATATCCATGTCATGTACGTGATACGGATTTAAATAGGACCCATAACTGTGAAATGAGAGCGGCTTTATGGAGAGATTTCTCCTCTTCCCATGAGCTCAATGCATGTGCGCAGGTGCGCTTGACACGTAATCACGTACATCCTATGAACATGCCCTGTTCTCTACCAGTTTTCAACAATAACATTAAAAGCTTGGTTGATCGATCCGTTTTTTATCGCTCCCGAAGAATTACAGATTCATTTTCAGGTCTAATGCGCTACTACTGAGAAATTTAGCACAGGATTTTATCGCTTTTGTGTCATACCGAGCGTTTTGATGACCTTGAAAGGGGGTTGAATTCCCGGCGAAAGTGAGGAATAAATATCAACAATGACACTGCCACACTGAATACAAGCAGTTCATTGATGGAAACCTGTCTTCCCAATAAAATTCCTTTGTAGGTGTTATTTAGTTTCATTTAAAACAGTGATCAAAGTTTAGCATTTTGTTCAAATAATTTTTATATACTGAATCGGTTCGAAATACTGTGAAATGCTCGAATCAACGTATGCGTGTTTCAGACCAATTGAATCATACATCCTAACCTCTAAGTGTTGAAAACAAAACACACATGAGGCAGTGAATATTATGGTTTGCCAAATGGTTTTTCAGTCGGGATTTCGATGATAATTTGTCATTCTTCCGGTCCTGGAAAGACATAAGATAATAAACGAAATTCAGAATTCAAGGAACCATGGCATTACGCTTGCGGGGGGGGAGAGACATGCTAAAAGGCATGCAGTTATCTGGTAAATGGATGGGTGAAGAACACTTCCATCTGTCCATTCCTGAAAATCGGGACAGGTAAGCACGTGTAGATGGTTATTGTAACGCAGCAAACTTAGCGTAATGTCAACAAAATGAAAACAACTTTCTTTGATCAATATAATCAAGTGCTTCTTATTATATATGCGAAGGTGAAGTAAACGTTCCACTCCAGAATCCACCACCACCATCACCAACACCTAAATTGATAGGAATAATGATTACAGACACATTAGGTGTTGTGGATTTTGAAGTACCCGATAAACGTGACTACGAGCTTACTTCAGTACATTTATAAAACGCCCTCCTCTCTCGGACGGGTGTGTGTGGATGGGTGATCTTTTCAGACGTTTTCAAACTTTATCTGCGCTCGAAGTAAGGTATGTTTCCAGTAATTATCAAACCAAAATAAAGCTAACATCGAGAGAGAACAATTTGCACGTGGAACGTTCAATCCAGAGGGAGATGCACATCCTATCGACAGATCCCCAAGTAATCCCTGAATCGTCAACCCCCAATTTTCCCATTTTTTACCATTCTCGTTTGGGATGCGGGAGAGACAAACTCGATCTCGCATCGCACACATGATTTATTTCATCACAAGTATACAAAAGAAGCCGGAATATGTTTTTTTCTAACTGAAAGTCACAAAAGAAAGCGAAAAACAAAAACAGGTACAATTGCGATGTAGTGATTTGTGTGTGTGTGTGTGTGTGTGTGTGTGTGTGTGTGTGTGTGTGTGTGGTTGACTAAATTCGGTTCCCTTACGAATGACCCATTGACCAGTGAGGTGTACTGTTTATGTCTGTGTGTGTTTGTGTGGTTAGGGGGGATACACAAAGGAATAGATCGATTTCGTGGGCCTGAGGTGTAACTATAGAGATACAATAGAAGGTCTTCACTTGAGACTTCGTTTTTTGTTGCTGTTGTTATTGTTGTTGTTATTGTTGCTGTTGTTGTTGTTATCCTTGTTATTATTGTTATCGTTGTTGTTGTCCTTGTTATTATTGTTGTTGTTGTTGTTGTCCTTATTATTGTTGTCGTTATCGTTCTTGTTGTTGTTGTTGTTGTTGCTGTTGTTATTCCAAGTTACATCCAAATGTCTCTACAAAATCCATACACATGAAGTACACACTATAT